CCAGCCGCAGCAGGTTCCCAGACAACGGGAGTGTGGAGCTAGTGCTCAGGGCAGGGGCAGTGCATGGAGCCCTGTGTGTTCCCTACCTCCCACCTAGGAGCCGGGCCTGCTGCCGGCCGCTTCTGGGGGGCAGGACAGTCTGCAGTGCCAGGCTAGGCAGGAAGCTGCCTCAGCCCCCCGTTGCTCACAGGATCCCCCTGCAGCCAGGAGCCCCAGGGCCCGACATTCCCCCGCCCAGTGCTGGGGACCCCGCATCGGAAAACTGCCAGTTGAAAACCACCGTTCCAATGGGTAGAGCAGGGGACTGGGGGGTGAATAAGCATCTGTGATTGTCACCCCAACAGTGACTGTCAGGGGTGACAGCTAGGCTCCCATGTGCTCCAGTGGCGCAATGGGCTAGTGCACAGTACTTATACAGCAGTACTTGGTTGAGCAATGCTGAGGTTGTGAGTTCAAGCCTCACCTGGAGCAGGTATTTTAGGGGTGTGGAATTTGCAGGTGCTCCTTTCCCAGGGCAGATAAATGGACCCCATATAGAGGCTGAGCAAGGTCCCTCAAACCCCAAAATGGGTGTGGGTGAGGCTTCATTCAATTAATGATTGCAAAAAAACCCTGAAATGTCTGTGTCTGTGCTCAACTGAATTTTTTTCTTCAAAAACATTCAGTTTTTCATTGGAAAAAAAATGTTGGCCGGCAGGGAGGTGTTTGGTTTGCCCCCTTCCCCCCAAGAAACTCTTCCTCTGCCAAATTTGAAGGGGAAATATAATCCGTCCAAAACGTAGACAGACCATTTTCCGCAGATGGCAGCTCACAGGTTTGTTTACTGCTCTTGCTGGCCAGGCACTATTGATGGTTCTGGTTTTTAAGTTTCACTGCCTGGTTCTCGGGCACTAGCTCGGCGCAATGAATCCATCCAAACTGAACAAAACCTCGCCCTGTTTCAACGGATTCTTGTAAAAATAAACCACGCAAGCGCTGCGATGGGTGTGAAACCATTTTTTCGACTCCACCTCCCTTGGCGTCTAGCACTGCCTAGCAGCGCCTGGGTTAGGAAGAGCCTCCCACGCAGAACTGCTTAACACAAAGCGTCCTCTTGGGAGTGATTTAGACAAACCATCTCTGTTGGGAGTGGCCTGCTGGCTTTGAGCAGCTGTAACCCATAGGCTTAGTGCAGGACTCAAGGACTTCACTAGTATTGTGACAAGTGAGTGTTCTGATTATGCTGAGCGCACCAGTACCAGACCCGGTCTGGATGATGCTACGTGCTTGGCAAACACACCACTGCCTGCTCGCTCCCCCAAAGAACTCACAAACCAAGTACATGCATTCGCCCTCAGAATCCGCTGGAAGGGGAAGAATTATTCACCCCGACTTCGAGGGAGGGAAACTAAGGCCAGGCTTCTTGGCCAAGTCATGCAGCGAGGCTGGGAAGAGAACACAGGAACCCCTGCAGTGTACAGCTTATTAAAGCGCGCCAGTGCCGGGCGTGTCACCGCTGGGATCTTTGCCGGCAACACGGTTCCATTTTTAAGCGCCCTCTGACCTCCCTGGTCACCAGACGTCTCCAGCTACAAGTGTCCCAAACTGACTTGCGGCCTGGTTTGCAGAGGCTGGGGGCTGA